CTCTTTCTTTATATTTCCAATGCTTTTATCCATCCATTCATTTTCTACCACTTACCTGAGGCGGCGTGACAACTAATCAGAGAAGCCCAGACCTCCCTCTCCGGAGTCACCTCTTTGTGCTCAAATGGGAGTAGGAATGCCAAGGCGTTCCCAAACTAGTTGAGAGATGTAATCTCCCCAGCGTGTCCTGGGTCCTCCTGGGGACTTGTTTGTAATTTCTTTCAAAGCGGTCTTGAGCAGTATTTTTACCAGGCTTTCTGGTCTTTCTTTGGACAATGGCTGCTTTTTCACTCAGTTTTCAAACAGTTGTTGTACTTGACCATTTTCATAACAATTAATCATTGAAACATAGAAAACGGCACCTAACTTGGGAGCTAAACGAGTGTTGTGTCAACACATAATAGAACCAGATTTAATTTGTATGTGTTTTAAAGATTTAAGTAATTACAGCCACCATGGGCATCCGGTAAGCATCCGGAGAAGTATAGCAAAGAGACTTGAGGTCCTGTTAAAATCTTCATTTACTGACTGAGTGTAGTGCTCAGCATAGACCACAGTAATCAAGGATCCACTAAGTGGTTGCACAAAACATTAGAGACTTGACCACACTGTGCATTGCTGTAAGGACAGCTATTGGTCAGTAAATCCAGATCCGAGAGAGCTAAACACTGAGCCAATAAAATCAACCCTTACTGAAGACATTTTCAGCCATATCTTTAGACACTTTGTTTCTAGCAGTCTATTGAAAAATACATAATTTGTTTCCACTTCTTTAGTTGAATCTGATCTGTGAAAAATGCCAAAGGCAGCACAGACATAAGTCAAAGGTAGAAGAAGTGGCAGGCCAAAAAACGTATTTACAGCAGATGAACAGTATCTGAAAGTCATGTCCTCAAGAAATATCAAAAAGCAGAGCAAAGACCTGACACAGAACCTGAGGGATTTCTCTGGCCATTCAGTTGACCCATCTGTTGTTCACTGAAGCCTCATCCAAAATGATCTCAGTGGGAGAATGGCTGTCAAGAAACAGGGAAAAAGGGCTGAGATATGCCAAATTACCCAAGAAGGTTATCGAATGGTGAATCCAAATCGAAAGTTTTTGGTTTAAGTTGTTTTCAACATGTATGGAGGAGGTCAGGCGAGCAGTAGAACATTGAGAGTCTACAGCCATCTGTAAGAAACATAGAGGCTTTGTCATGGGTTGCACTGCCAGTGGTGCTGGACACTGAACTACGAACAAGAGACATACCATGAGACTTTGATCCACCATGCAGTACCATCTGGAAGGCATCTGATTGGTACTAGTCTAAGTTTTCAGCATGGCAACAATCCCAAACCCACTGCCAATGCAGTAAAAGCATACCTGGATAGAATGCAACACTATCAAAAAAGACCCTTGAATGTCCTTCAAGAAGTCTGGAGAATTATTCCCGAAGCCTACTTCAAGAAATTACAAGTTTAACTAAGAATAAAGAATAAAGGTAATGATACCAAGTATTGACTTTCAGGCTTAATAGAATTGTACCAGTTCAAATTCTTCCTTATTTCCAGTTTTATTTTTTGACGATTGCATGTGTAGAGACATTTTAATCATGTTTTAATTACCATTTCTTTGTGACTGAAAATTTAAAATGCAGTTGAAAAATACAACATGCTAAATACTAGTATTAATAATGAAATGCAGAAAGGGACTGGACTCTAAACGTGCAGGGTGAGGACTGGGAAAGGGAAGAGGTACAGGACAGGACATAACTTTTACACTGCGTTTACAGTGCTGTGTTATCTTTCTGATGACATTTCCCTCTCTCATTCCAAATAAATGAACACCAACTATCATAAATCCCACAACTAAAACAACACAAACTTTTTTTCCAGTGTTAAATTTAGACTTAACTGGCTGCAGCAAAACTTGATAAATCATATTTGTATGAGTCACTTAAATATCCTTCAAGAGTTTTTTTTTTTTTTTTTTGCTGTGAAACAGAAACATGCATAACAAGGCCGGCCACAATAAATACATGTCCACACCTTCATTAAGGTTTTGTAGGTTTGGTTCTGGTGCAGAGCATTAGTAGGCAAAACCTGGCCTATGGGAACAGTTATTTTTGTAGCTGACCTCATTAGAAATACATATATAAATGTATTTGTATTTGACAACTTTATGTTCTTGAATTCAAGCTTTCTAAGCAAAATATAAAGAAATCAGCTGTAGCTCCAGACTTTTGCACAGTACTTTACCTTTAAAACTAAAATATATCACTCAAATGTGACATGTCAGCATGAAAATTATTTGATATTAGCATCCACTATGTGATTTTCATTTAGTAACTTGACCTAAATGGAAATGTCCTTTACAACAACAGCAGTTTCATTTACACTTATGTAACACAACGGGAGTGTTGTACAAAAAATTCAATGCCCTAATGAAATCAATATATTTTTAATTTTAAGAAATCCTTATTTTTTAAGGGATTTTTGAACACTTGATTAGTGCTGTCTTTAATTACCATAGCTACAAATGGGCATCAGCACTGCAGAGATAATCAGATTACTGTAAGTGCATTTTAAAGCGGGCCAATTGAAGTCCTGCTTTCGCTTATTAAATGAATAAAGTGTTAATGCTTCAGTGCACAAATCATTTTCTCTTCATTTAAACTGTATTGACTTTGTCTCGAGGGAATGCTATCACTGACAGAGTAGATAAAGCAACTGGCTGCATATATAATGCATGTTTGTGTTCTGTTCAAACTTTTAGGTACAACAGTCTGGTGACAGGGAAGAGGGCAAAGGGCATCATTGCACTGTGCTGGGTTCTTTCAGTGGGCATCGGCCTGACACCGATGTTTGGCTGGAACACAGGTGGGGAAAGATTTTTGCCAATTCCCACACAGAGTCAATGCTTTTAATTGATGCTGTGTGAAACATGAAACGACCTTCCTTTACATAGTCAAAATCATGCAGAGGAGGTATTTTGATGCAAACAAGCAAACATTATTCTTGTGTAAGGGAGGATGCCCCGCTTCTGTCTGTATATCTTCCCACTGCTTATTACAACAATTCTATTGCATTGTATAGTGTAAATGGATAAATGCATCAACAATGTATTTCTAGAAAGGTCTTGTGTTCTTATCTGCACTGGCAGTGGCAAGAGAGACATGCATACATTTATTTATTCATGTTTTCATGTTTAAGTTGCATATTTAAGCATGTTTAAGTGGTCCTAACTGCTGAGGAGATTGTTGAGGAAAACTGAGCTGAGCTGAAACCCTATAATTTTGCTTTTGGATGAAACTGGCAATAAATCACAGTTTTCTTTACACAGGTTGGAACTCCACTACAACTGCCACCAAAAGCCAAGGCTGCCCTGAAGGAATGACTCATTGCTTGTTTGAGAGAGTGGTTCCCCTTGACTATATGGTCTATTTCAATTTCTTTGGCTGCGTGCTGGTGCCCTTGGTGATAATGTTGGTCATCTATATCCATATCTTCATGGCAGCTCGCCGACAGCTTCGAATGATGAGCCTCAAAGTTGCACACGTACCTGCTCCTGGACAGAAAACTCCATCTTCTGGCTCATCTCGTTCGATTCTGCAGAAGGAAGTACACGCTGCAAAATCACTGGCTATTATCGTTGGTTTGTTTGCTCTGTGCTGGCTTCCTGTGCATATTATCAATTGCATCAACCATATTTGCCAGGACTGTGAGCGCCCACACATCTGGGTGATGAACATTGCAATCATTCTCTCCCATGCCAACTCTGTGGTGAATCCCTTTATCTACGCCTACCGCCTTCGAGAATTCAGACATACCTTTCGCAAGATTCTCTATCAGCACATCCTGGGGAAGAGGGATGGGCATGTGTTCGGGGTTGAAAGTGCTGATGGCAGAGGTGTAAGGAGCACTAGTATCATGCAGACATCTGCCCGTACGAGTAAAGAGGATTTATCATGTGGCACAATGGTAAATAGTTATGTTCTAGATTCTGGTGCTGAGAAAACTACATCAAATGCCTCTCATGAGATTTTAGATTCTGTACCTAACAGTAATACACCCAACGGACACCAAAAAGCAACTGGCACCCCATCAGAAGTCCAGCATCAGCCAGGTATTTTGGCATCTTCTGCACAGGAAGCAGCAACGTCCGCCACAAATCTGGGAGGAGCAACAGATATTTTGGAGTTGAAAGACAGAGGAAGCTGCATTACTTTTGTAAATGTTCAGGCATTCCCATTAAAACAGAATGACTGTTCCCTTTCTTCAAAAATCACAGAAATATCATGACAAAGACATTTAGTTATTTCAAATTTCTTGCTCTCAGAACACACAGAATGTTCTGCAAACGTGAAATTTCAGCAAATCAGCCTCGACAGCAAATCTGTTTTTTTAATGTAAAATTTTATTTTTTTAGTTTGGAGTTTCTTTTTTTAATGTGCACTTTAATGTTTAAAGATAATATACTTTTTGTAATGTGCAGGTTTTTGCTATCTGTGTTGTTTGTATGCCATCAAAATTAAATATCTTTAAATATGTCGATTTATGTGGTGTTTTTGTGCTGCAGCACTGAACTGAACTTTGTCACTCATCCAGGTTATGATACTCTGAAGAGCGTGAAAAAAGAAGGAAACTAGACTTTAAGTTGTGAAGATGTTTCACTTCTCATCCAACAGGCTTCTTCTGTTTCAAAAACACCTTGGCTGAAGTGACCTCAATAGGTCACATGACAGGATGTGACCTACTGCCCCCTAGTGTGGGTTGTTCCACTTGGAGGTGGTTGTTAACCCAATATTGATCATGCGAGTCATCACATGAGCCAAAGTGTGAAAAAGATGTTGGTCATGACCATCGTCAGGGGTTGTGGGGGAAACCACTCAGAGACTGTGCCCCTATTGAGGTCATCTCAGGGAAGGTATGAGTAGGGGTTAAAGCACCTGGGAAAGGATCTCAAGACTGCATTGTAGGTGGCTGATAGCTGGTGTCACCACCTCCGTTCAATGATGGTCATTCACAAGTGACTGCTTGGTTTCTCATTGATGCACTGCGAAGTATACGCTATGTTGCTCAGTTTGTGTTTGGTCCTTGAGATCAACCAGTTTTTCTCTAAGGGTGTGGCTGGGTCTGAAGTGCACTATAATATCATGAGAAGAAATTCTCATGAGTTTCTCTACAAACCTGCTACATAAGAGATGGCAATAGAAGACCTCCTTTACTCCTCCTATAAATCTGGCATTATGTTTGGGAGTTTTGTTCTTAGGATGGACCAGTTTTTGTCTGAGGGTGTGGCTACTCTGAAGTCTGAGGATCATCCACATACGTGTACCAGTAGCTAGGTGAGGAAGCCCAGAGCTTTATTAGAGGTTGGTATTTGTATAGTGCTTTTTTTAATAGTCCCTAAGGACCCCAAAGAGCTTTACACGTCCAGTCCATTCACACACACACATGGTGATGGCAAGCTACGTTGTAGCCACAGCCACCCTGGGGCGCACTGACAGAGGCGAGACTGCCGGACACTGGCGCCACTGGGCCCTCTGACCACCACCAGTAGGCAACGGGTGAAGTGTCTTGCCCAAGGACACAACGACCGAGACTGTCCGAGCCAGGGCTCGAACAGTCTCGGTCAAGGCGAACTCCCAACTCCCAACAAGGCGAACTTCTTGAGCCACGATCGGTTGGATAGAGGTTCCTGCACATCTAGGATTTTTTCTGTAGAAAAACCTTGAAGTATTTAAAATATGTGGTATCATATGTGGAGATGTCTAACAGTGTGCAGATCTGATGTGGGATGTAACAGATTCTGTTGTGTAAGGTGCTGTGTTTGTTTTCTGACAGTCTCCACTTCCTCAGTTGTAACTCTATAAGTGAGAAGTGTGATGACCTCACAGGCCTTACAACTAAAACTCTGTTTGTTTTGCTGCTGTTGTGATCAGCGATTTGATCAGTGCCGGGCAACACATGTTCACTGTTGTTCACTAACCATCCAAAACAAAGAGCTTGTTTGCCTGTACAGATATGACCCCATATGCCTGTATTGTAGATGCTTTTAGAGTAAGGCTTGCTTGCATAACACTATGAAAAGGACACACATACATAGGTAAAGTACATACACATGACCACAGACCACTCTGTAAGAAATGTTTACAGAGCAGCCTGGCACTGACGCCAGTCAATAAGCCTAATGCAATGGAAATCAAATGAAGGTTCATTTGATGGTGTCTTTTATTATCCCATAATGCTTTCCCTTCTCTCATTAAAAAGCTCTTCCACTGTGGCAAAGCCCTACATTAACCAGCTTTTATGTGCCCTAAAGCAATCCCAGAGAGAGTACCCAGGAATACGGGTACGTATCTAACTTGCACTGTGTTTATTCAAAAACTTAAATGTATGCGTTTATTACACATTGTAATCATGCAAGAGGGGAATTAAAATGGGTGAAACCATTTCATTTTAATGTTTTTTGTTGTTGTTGCATGTTATGATATTTTGATAAGCATGAGAAGGGTTATCAAAATGATTTGGTTATGGATATTACATACCTGAGTCATAAAAAATAAAAAGGATAAGGGACCATTGTGGTATGATGACCTGGAGGAAAACAATCCAGTGTGTACATTTATAGTGTGTCATGCTGCCATACATTACACATGTGTGACACCAGCATGCAAAATGATTAAGCTATCTTTTAGAAAGAAATGCAAATGATCAGAAACTCAGTAACAAAAGATTTATTGCAGCAGAGACCACAGTGTTTATTTAAAGAGTCATACTCTGTGCATTCCCTCTCTGGCTGATGATTTCAGTCAGCCTCATAAATTACCCGCCTCCACCAATGCACCGCATAACCATTACAAGTACTGCATCCTTTGTTCTACACCTCACAAATGTTCTTCTTTTTAAATGCCTCAAACTTAAATTTGTTAGTACATGTGATTCTTCTTACCCCATGGGTTTTTTTGTTGTTGTTCTTATTGTTGTTGTTGTTGTTGTTTTTCTTCAAATCTTAGTTCTTCTGGTGTGACTTTTTCTTTGCAACTTGGCTAAACGGGTTACCCTCCTTACTGTTAATGTTAAAACTTGTGTTTTGGTGATTCTTAAAAGTTACCAGAGAATCTGAGAACAAACTATTTCTCAAGCTGGAGACTCTGCTGAATCTATCCAACTGCTCAGTTGTGCACCAGGGCCTGCACCAGGGAGCTACTGTGATGCTGTTCTGCGAAGTGAATGGTTAGTGTAAAAGTGTAATTTCGGGAGGGAATTTCCCACATACGATAGCCGTCGCTACTAACAATAGTATGATTAATTTAAAAATGATGTTATTTTTAGAGGAGCAGAAAAAGCACAGACCCACAGATGCTCAAGCTCCAGATTCTCAGCTATGCAACTTTATTTTTATTTATAGTCAGCTCAACAGCTATTTTAACATAATTAAAGATTCGTTTGGTCATTGGTTTGCCTAGATCTTGATTCATAGACAGCTGATGAGAGACAGATAATAATGTCTGCTCATTCTTTATTCTTTATTCAGATTTCCACTAGTTGTCCCTTGAGTCTAAAGATAAAACAATACAAAACATCCAGCCATCAATCTAGAGACAATCAATCAATAAACTGAAAAAAATAACCTATCAAATAAAAAGAGAGTAGTTCCTGCAACTTATATGACAAACAATGACATATTATGGAATAATAATAAAAAATACAATAAACGGCATGTATAAAAGATCTACTGATGATCATTTGATGTATCATTTTTTTCGCCAAATTCCTTGTGAACCCGTAAAGCCATAAAAATACAGATCCCACAATGCACTGCGGAGCATCGCAGGAAGCATTCGATTGACCCGCCGGTGGATTGTGGGAAAGCGGAAAAAGGGCTCAAAAGGTAGGGAACCGCGTCTGGCGCACGTTGCAACGTCAAAAGAAGAAGCAATAACAAAGAAACTAGCTTTTACGATAGACTCCAGGTGAGAAACAAAAATACTCGTAATTCAACTGAGACCGTAATTTTTTTTCCGTGCTCATTAGCAGCGTTGTTTGTTTCTTGGGCGTTTGAATCAAGCGCGTTCATTCAGGAGCCAATATGGCTCCGTCTATTTGCCGATCTAATAACTTGTTACTGCAATAAAGAGGCAAACGTTAATGTTGAAATCGTATTTGTGTAATTTTAAGTTTGGTTTGTTACACATGGCATTAATTGGATTACATTATTGTATGCAACCAGGATATATTATTGTACATTAGCCTAGCTCGCTAATGAAGGCTAATTCCTCTCGCAGCTTCGATATTTAATGATTTGACTGAGAGATTCGCTTTATTGATCAGAAGTTAACTGTAGCCTGCTTATCCCATCTTAACGAGGGTCACTGATTGTTATATATTTACTCCCAGCAACTCTTTAAACAGTATAAGAGAGCTGATTGTCGTTACACAGGCAGTACTCGAGTGAAAAATTAATTGGCGAGGATAATGTGTGGACAAGTGATTGCTTCCCTGGTGTTTCTGTAACTAAACGCATCCCAAAATTAACAAGCCAGTTCAGTTAACTGTAACCCAACTTTATGGCTAAATATAATTTTGAGTCTGATGTTTGATGGTAAAAAAAAAGAAAATAAATGCGTTTGCAGGAGCTTACAGCCTATGAATGTGCACAGTGTAACATTTCTTCTGCTAAATTTTGTTTTCCAGAAACATTCTTGAAAAATGTCCATCGGCGTTCCAATCAAGGTCCTGCATGAGGCAGAAGGACACATTGTGACCTGTGAGACCAACACTGGAGAGGTTTACAGAGGCAAGCTGATTGAAGCAGAGGACAACATGAACTGCCAGGTCAGTACATGATAAAGAGTGTAAAGTGAATGTGGATGGTGTTCCTCCTTCCTCCTGGGGTCCCATCAACCAAAGTGTTGGTACTGTATTGTTTTTATGATTTTTTTTCTTTTTTCTTTTCTGCCTTCATTAGAGTAATCAACAGTTTAGTCTTTAATAGGCTGCTCGATAATTTGAACAAGTTTTGTTTACTTTATTTTCAGGTACATGCCCATAAATGGCGTAATGTCTTGTGTGGCAACACAGATAGAAAAGCTTAATGAGGCTAAAAGGAATTTTCATTACAAATAATAGTGTCTTTGTTCTGTGTCTCTCTGTTCTGAATGTTCAGGTTCAATTTGTGGTGTTTTTATTTTAATTATAACATTTATTTCTGTTTTTTTTGTTTATTTTTATTTTTTTCCCCATAGTTGTTTAAAGGTTTCCAAGCTTTCCACCTGTCGGTGTCAAATTAAGAGTGAACTGTGCTAATCAAGTACTGGAGACCCCAATCTGGTAGCTGCATTAGTAAAAGCCAGTTAATTAAAAATCGGTCCCGGATCAGATGGTAAAAAACTGTTCCTTTTATGGCTTTGTAAAGTTTAGATAACTACTGTTGATTTGAATAAAACACTAAAGAGCAGTTTGATTACATTTGTTGAAAGAATGATCTTTGTTTTTTACAGATGTCTAATATCACAGTGACTTATCGGGATGGCCGCGTGGCACAGCTGGAGCAAGTTTACATCCGTGGCAGCAAAATCCGCTTTCTGATTTTACCCGATATGTTAAAAAATGCTCCTATGCTGAAGAGTATGAAGAACAAGAACCAGGGATCTGGTGCAGGAAGGGGCAAGGCAGCTATTCTTAAAGCACAAGGTGAGTGAAAATTTGCAGTAGATTGATACACCTGTCAGTATGTTCAGTAGTGGGTGCAACTGACGGTGATTTTATACTCATTGCATACATTGATTGCCTTTTTGTGTTTGTGCAGCATAACTAAATCCTACCATCAGAAAAGTGCTTTCTGTCCAGTGTTGCTCTGTTCCTTGTGTAATAAGTACAGTCTTGTCATAGGTGTGGGGGATCTGTCAGAAACACTGATTTAAATGTTTCATTGTTGTTCAGTTTGTCTTCACATCCCCTTTAAGATAGAACTGATATTTTGCCAAGTGGGTGTTAAGGATACAAAATTAGACTTCACTGTACTTCTCGCAACCAAAGTACTGAATGTATTATTAAAGTTAATGAACCGTTGGTGTATTTCTGGTTCAGTGAGGTACTCTACGTTAAAAACTGATAGTATGCCATCTTTGTTTTTTGTGCTCTCCAGTGGCTGCAAGAGGACGAGGGCGTGGTGGAATGGGAAGGGGAAACATCTTCCAGAAGAGGCGATAATTGCTCCAGCTACATTAACATTTTTGCATTGTATAGTTTTTGTTTTCCCCTTGAATTTGATACGTTGGATATCATTTGAAATCTCGTACTTTGCAGTCTGTTGCTTTAAT